GGGACCTAAACCTGTTCAGCCTTCACAAGAGAAGGCTGAGGGGGGACCTGGTGACTGTCTATAAACTCACTAGGGGGGACCAGAAGGGTTTAGGGGAGACACTGTTTCCCCTAGCGCCCCCTGGCATGACAAGGAACAATGGACACAAATTATTAGAGAGTAGGCTAAGATTAGACATCCGCAAGAACTACTTCACAGTTAGGGCAGCTAGGAGCTGGAACCAACTTCCTAGGGAAGTGGTGCTGGCTCCTACCCTGGGGATCTTTAAGAAGAGGCTTGATGACTACCTGGCTGGACTCATTTGAGTCCAGTCTTTTCTCCCTCCCAGGCAGGGGGTCGGACCTGAAGATCTTCAAGGTCCCTTCCGACCCTACTTCTATGATTCTATGATTCTATAAAATCATCCTCTGTCTAAAGGGTTGGTTAAATTATGAAGGGATTAAAATGTGTATTACATTTATTAGCTGTCTCTGACCTCCTTTCTCTCAGGCCCTCTTCTAACAAGTTGTTGTATGCTTTTGAAAAATGACTTCATTTTATACTTTCTTAAATGAGAAGTGAACCCCAAAGATGCCTTGTTGATAGTCTTAGAGATAGCAGTTCACTTTTTAGTCACTGAACAGAAACTGTCCAAGGATTTTCTGACTGCTCACCTCATATGCCTTTTCCCTGAGGAAGGCTGCATTCAGTTTAAATTCTATTCATAGTATGTCTCTGCAGTTTAAAAACAAAAGAACTGAACTAGTGCTAACCATGGAGATGGGTTTTTTGCAATGTTATATTTAACTGCTGAGATCTGGACTGAAGCCTCACCAATTTTTAATCAGATTTCAGATTTTAAGGAGCTTAATTTCAACTGGCTGCCTCTAGAAATTGACAGATTACATTCTAATCTCTTCTTCTCCTTGCTGCAGGTGAAATATGGGAACTATGCTTTTGTATGGGATGCAGCGGTACTGGAATATGTGGCAATCAATGACCCAGACTGTTCCTTTTACACGGTTGGTAACACCATTGCAGACAGGGGGTATGGAATTGCTCTTCAGCATGGCAGCCCTTACAGAGATGTATTCTCACAAAGGTAAGGTTTGGGAGAGAAGGGAAGAGGGATTAAGGGAAGATGCCTCTCAGATCACTTTCCTGGTGGGCAGATATTTCACCATTGCTTTTGGCTTCATGATTTCTTTCTTTCTGTGCAGTCCTGACCTTAGGAATGTGTGTAAAACTGAAAAGCAATGCTTTCATATGGGATGGGAGGGAGTGGGAGGGGGCAGTATGCTGGTATCACTGGGTCTTATGTAATTGAATGCGTATCTGAAGTAAATTGCTATAATTTCACACTCTGGCATTTGTATGTTAGCTCCAGTTATTTATCCCATTTCCATTAATATACTTTGTTGGATGTAGTATTGACTGGTCTCACCTTTCCTGAAGAAACAGCAGTGAATTGCACTGAACTTTACTGACAGAATCAGGTAAAGGTTTTGGGACTTTGCTGTGTTGAGAAGATGGTGCCATACTCTATACTTTTGAGAAGGCTACTCTTCCTCATACAAACCAGTTATAAAGTGCTGAAGATAATCTCAAGACCATTTGAGAGATTGAATTTCTTTAAATACTCAAGAGTTCAGATGCTCATTCCCATCATAGTCACCATTTTAGGGCTATACAGGGGAGTAGTCTAGTAAGATTCAGGCTAGGGACAGAAAATATACATAAACTGGTATAAGTGATCAGAAACTGGTCTAAATCTGTAACAGAACAGAAATTCAGTGCATATAGACCAGTTTCAAAATGGTGAGACCAGGTTTAAGATAGACCTGGATGGATGTAGTATCAGATGTAATCAGTTTAGGTTAGACTGATCTATGGAACTTCTGTCCCAGATCCTCTCCTGATTCAAGCTAAGTCACAGCCCCCTGGCATCCCAAGCTGCTTTGTGGCTCCCTGCTAGCCATCCCTTGCAGAGTGGGTGGGTTAGCCTCTGCCAGTGCTCCTCTGCAGCAGCCAACCTGGGCTGTCACAGAGCTAAAACAGCAAAGACTCTGCTCCCCAGACCCATGTCCTGCCTGTGCCTGTCAGCCTGGTGAGGCAGCTTGGGGGAGACTAAGCTAAGGGATGTACAGCCCTTCCTCCTGCGAGTTTCTGCCACTGACCCACAGGGGGAGGGACAAATGAAGCCTCCTACCCCAGTCTCTTCCCCCTCAAACTGAGGTCTGCCTAGCTGGGGGGAGGGAGGTTCCCCATCCCTGCCTGGGCAGACCAGCTCCACAAAAGGAAGGATTGGACCCTGCTGCACAGCAGAAGGCCTCTGGGTTGCTTGCCATGTGTTGCTGGCTGCTGCTGGTTCTGGGCCCTAGTGAGACATGCCAGACAGCCCATGGGGCTTGTGCCAGTCAGCCAGGATGGGAGCACTTCCTAGAAGGAAGGATCAGGCCTGTGGCACAAGACCCCAGATCGTTTGTGACATCCCACCAGCTACCACTAGTGCTGGGCTCTGTCAAATCATCAAGCCCAGGAGACCTTTGCCAGGCAACAGGGGATGGACCTTCCATCAGTGTAGCGCTTCCATGCCCACAACCTGGTGCAAGCCCTCTGGCCACCCAGTACATCGCACCATATCCCAGCACCAGCAGCAGCTGGCAAGACATGCCAGGAGACTTCTGTCAGGTGGCGGAGCCCAATCGTTCCTTCTGTAGAGCTGGCCTGGCTGGGGGGGGGGG